TCTAGCGTTGTAAGTCCGCAGATATACCACTGTGCCACTGGGGGTCCAAACTTAAAATACTTAATAAGCTAGCACATGGATGATGAAAATATGTTGTTAATTTCATTATACCGGAAAGTGTTTGCCATCTAGAATTTCTCTAAACTCTTAGCAAATGTATTTGATGTTATATGCAAATATAAATGCTTTGATTAATTAAGAGAGAAAGTATAGATTACCACACAAAAGAATTACTCTCATGATTTTTATTTACGAACAGACGATATTATTATGTAAAAATTTGAGATTTAAAATATTTTAGTAATTATAAACTGTTTCATACAACATTATGAAATAAGAAAATTATTTTATTAATACCTTTTGCATACAAAAATAAGTTTTTGTTTTTTAGCTGTAATGTTCCTAAAGAGTTTTGACAAACAATTTTCATTGGTTACATAACTTTCTCATGTAATATAACAAACAGTAAAAGCAACGTTTGGCTATTTAAAAAAAAAATATCCAGAAAAAACTGTTTCGAAAAAAATCATTATTTTTATTGAAAATTAAATACTAAGTAAATATACTCTCTATCACTAGTAATGTAAATGAATTAATAAACAAAACCTAACAAATGACTTTTCTTCATATTATCAATAGTCAAATGAGTTAAAAACCAACTAATTTTCATTTAGATATTTTACTTATAAGGAAGATATAATATTCTACAGAAAATATGCTCAAAGTTATGGGATAAAATGTGTTGAACACTGATAAGGTTCTGAGAAGGTTTTATTTCCTTCTATTAAGATTATCCCTGAACTGAAATATTCATTTATGATATGTATTTAATATAAGTTGTCATCACAGTTAGAACTTGTATATCATACAAGAAACAGATAATGATATAATAATCAAACTGCATAGCTTAAAAAACATGACAAAACTAAAAGCATTTCTTCAGGAATAACCGATCACAAGATACAGTCATGACATGAAGGATATAAATCAACTAATACTCTAACATTCTGAGTATTTAAAATTATTGTAACATTTCCTCGTTGTTGCTTCAGCAAATTTTTTGCTCAGTAATATGTAATCATCTTCTTAATAATATCAAAATAGCAAATAAAAATTAGAAAACAGTCCAATCACTTTAATATAAATCATATAAAAAACTAAAGAACAGCTAAAATCACATATCACAAATACTTCAAATTTCACATCACACACACAAGCTACAGCAGAAACAGTGAATACCTTTAGGACAGGCTTTCTCAACCTATGGGTCACAACTTATAGTTGGGTCTTCAGATGTTTTTGCACTAACACTACTTACTAGGTCGCGAGTGACCATCAATGTTTATAAATGAGTCCCGAGCCAAACAAGGTTGAGAACTACTGTTTGGAGGTATACTTTTTTTAAAAAAACTTTAATTTCCTGCAACACAACAAAATGAAATATGCAATTTGTTCTACTGTTGCATTCTGTACAAAAATTCAGATGTAACATAAATAAAAACTAGTACATTATGCGTTAACTCCAATGGAGGTTTGTTTGTTTTGGTTTTCCTTATAAAGCTACATTAGGGCTATCTGCACTAACCATCCCTAATTTTTAACTGACAGACTAGAAGGAAGACAGTTAGTTAACAGCAACCACTGTCAAATCTTGGTTTGTACTTTTAGCGAATAGTGGTATTTTACAGTCACTCTTAATATGTGTCCAAAGTGTGAAGTTCCATTTTGTGGCATGGCCATTAAGTGTAGACTCTCGGTCAACCACTAGGCCATGCCTAATGCTTCATTGAAGGTACAGTTTATGTAAATATCAGTTTTCATATCAAGTAGTGCATCTAGAAGTGTATAGTTTCATTACAGCACTGAAAGATAAACTTTTGAAAATGTATTTTAATGAAACAGACAAAAACCTTTGCAAAACATTAACACAAATAAAATAAGATTAATGTACGTATACAAAAATTAAACATTCACTTTTTTCACCCTCTGACATAACAATCCTTGTTGGACAGGAAAAGGCATGAAATTAATGTTCAGCAATTCCCAAATACAGGACATAAGAAATAGGCAGATAAATCTCAAGCAAAAAGGAGTACCCAAATGTATCCTATGCATGCACTATATAATTCCGAAAATATTTAACAAACTTTCACAGTTTTTTTGGTAGAGTAGCTTTTGTATTATATATTATGTGGTATCTAAATTACTCAAACAACAAGGACTACAGTTTTTTAAAAGAAATCCAAGCACATTTACATGTAAAAAAAAAAAAATTAAACAAATTCTGAAGGTGAAGAATTTATTATTTTCTTTGTATGTTATTAAAAGAGTCTGTCTGTTCTTCAAAGAAAAGTGTTAGCTGTCCTCTTCATTGATTTCCTCTGCTTTAAAACTGAAATATACAAAAACATTATATAAAAAAAACAATCATAGCATGGTTACAAAATTAGAACACAAATTACTACAATTTTCCAAACACAAGTTACCAAAATAACCAAGATATGTTTAAAAAACTAAAAGTAACAGAAACTAGAATTTACAATTAAAAATCTCTATATTTGTGTATAAATTTAGTTCTAATGGAGAGAGCATAATGGTCAAATTACAAAGTTTTAACATTTTGTAGCAAAATCTAAAACTATTCTGCAAATGTATAAAGTTACGAAGCATTACACATATACGCACAGAAAAATAACACTCCCATTGAAATTAATGCTGTTAACTTAGAATTGTAGTAAGCTATTATATTAAAAGAAAAATGTTCAATCTAGGCTTAATACACAACTGGAACCTTGTATATAGGAAATGTGCACATGGAAGAAGCTGGTTAAATGTAAAAATAAAATAAAAACTATATTGCAATGGTTGTAACAATGAAAAAAAATTGAAACAAATATTAGAAGGTAGTGGGTAATCTTACACCTGGGAGCAAACTATTTTTAAATCTCTAATTTGTTTTACATCAACTTGGTCTAAAGCTAACAGACTGATTATATCTACAAAAAATTCAGATCTGTTCTTAGCACTTTTGTGAAAGTATTTCTTAGTTACTTCTTATACTTGTGACAATGTGTGTAAATTCTTCACTAGTGCTACCACATATGGTGTAGTATTGATTTCTTACATCCTGTCATCACATCTCAAACATGTCAAGTCACACCTACATATAATTCACTATATTTTATAAGAATCAAAATTTATGGCATATCTCTTATCAATTTATGAAGCATTTCATAAAAAAAAAGTATATACCAATTATAATAACAAAATAACCATATAACACAGATACTTGAAAGTACCTTCTGCTATTTGTTATACTATGTTACGTTACTTTAAAATTATGTATTAATTCACATTTAAAATCTCTCAAGTGACTTACCTTTTACATTGTTCTATAACCATGTGAGCAAGATCCCTTATCTGTTGACAGCATACAGGATTCTCAAGTAATCTTTCTAACAGTTCAATGCCATTCTCACTTCTAATCAGTGAGCAGTATTTTTCAGCTAAATATTAGGAAATTTATTACATCAACAAAAACATGGTAGCAATTCTTCTAAACACTGAAATTTAACATTTTTTTCTTAAAGTACACTGTCAAAGTGAATGAAATTAAGTTTCATTTGATGCAATAAACATAACTTAGCAAATTTATTATATACACACACACATTAGTATTTTAATGTTATACCCTTTTATTACGTATGCACATTGCAACCAGCAACACACGTATCAAATATAATAAAATTACATATATTAAAAATTTTATGCTTTCAAACAACAAAAACAATACTTCTCGTATACCAAAGAGAAACTTACGATAAACTCGTGTTAAGTTTGCAAGAGCCCATACAGCCCAATGATGAGCTTCAGGAGTATGGTCAACATGTAATAAACGCAGAATTGGTTCAAATGATCTAATAGGAAAAAAAAAATACTAACCAATTATCATCGATACAAAGCATAAAATGCAAGAGAATCACAATAACAATATAAAGAAATCTGCAAATGTCATAACAAATACTTTTATGATGTAAAACGAAGTAGGAGACAGCACTATTGTGATATTCACAGATGAGACCGATTTCCCAAGAAGTATCAGATAGATTAATCCACAGTCATAACAAATACTTTTATGATGTAAAACGAAGTAGGAGACAGCACTATTGTGATATTCACAGATGAGACTGATTTCCCAAGAAGTATCGCATAGATTAATCCACAGTAACAGCAGAGTTTTCTCTTTAGCATATAAATAACAAAGCTGGATACATTTTGATGAATCAACAAACAGAATCTTTAATTAAACAATAAAAAAAAAGAATACTAGTGCAGATACCCATTATGGATGACTCTACAGTCCTTTCTCCCTTAGTTGGTGTTTAAGTATTGTCACTTTCTTTCTCTCAAGATCAAATGTTCCAACACTAAACACAAAAAATTTCTACAAAAAGATTAGGTCTTTAATGTTGGTCAACTGACAAAAAACTGAACTAAGAACGTGTGCTCGGTTCCAGAAAATTAATTTGCTTTTTTTGTCCAGTTGATAGCATCACCTTTTGACCTATATTCCCTGACAAACTGGTTGAATGTCACCTTCAGTCAGCCATAGATATTTAAAAGTTACCCATTCAATTCAGATTCCATATACAAACTGAAAGATCTCTGCTGGCACAGTAGACATCAACTACTAGAGAGAGCGAGAGAGAGCAAGGGATGAAGCAACTAGAACAAGACAAGTTAGCAACTCTCTAGACCATGTGTTCCCGCATGATAGTGTGGAAACTAAATAATCAATAATTTCTGAAGTTTCTATATTATTATAGAAAGTAAAAAAACCCTTAATGTGCACGAATATATCACATAGTCACACAAGGGTTAGGCATTAAGCTGAATTTATCCCAGTAACTTAACAATCATTAAGTGCAGAATGATTATTATGTTATATGAACTTATTTGGCAATGTTTTATTACTCTTACAGACAGAAATAATAATTCAAATGTGATATATTAAATTAAAATCCTAATGATTCTCCTAATAATTTGTTACCTCACTGCAGGCAATTAACTAATATTTCAGCATCTAAACAGTAACTCAATAACATGTTTCTCACCCACTTTTCACTGTAGTGCTGGGTAGCCACTTTCTATGGCTATCTCCATCTACAAGTAGCATACTAGATGAATGTTGTACAATAAAACATTTGATTTGAAAGGTAAACAAAGAATTTTTAAGGTGGTTAGTATTATTTTTCAATAATGCAAGTTCAAGAGGAACAATAGATCTGATAGCAAAGTTATATAAAAAATTGACAAAGATCTACCAGTGACTTTATATACAGAATAGGTA